AGGTGCTGTTTCTTTTTGACATTGTTCTCCTTTTCAAGCTTCAACTCCATTTTTTGAGGGGGGAGGGTTGTTCTTAGCCCTAGAGGCTTTTAGCACAACAAAAAGAGGCCTTCAGAAACATACTGCATGATCACATCTTAGGAAAGCAGATGCTTATCTGGCACAGTGTGAGCTCTGTGCCTAAATTGCCAATCGTTAATTATTTCAGATTTTTAAAATGCCGTGTAACTCTTCATAGAATAGAGTTACTCATGGAAATGGGGTGAAGTCCGGGTTGTGTGCAGACAACTGGAATTTCATCACTTATTTGCGAAAGGCCAGGATTTCTGTGCCTGCAGTGGTCAGGGAATGCAACTGCTCTTGTGTAGATCTGAATTTTCTGAACTTACTTATTATAGATAATTGTTCAGTGAGTGGTTTATGGAGATGTATTGTAGTTTATGGATTGCTCACAAATTATTTGTTGCAACTGTTACATTCAGGATTGTCAAATTACTGTTCTCTGCTTTCTACCTGGTCACCTAAATTGCAAGTTACTTCTCTCTGTTTCCAGACAGACTGACTCCAGGAGGAGTTTCCAAGATGGTTGGGTAAACACTGCTGCCAAGCTGCCTCACATGCGTGTATATCCATGGAAATATTTACTTGGCTTTTTTCACCCAAATGGTGACTTCTTCAAATGTTTATCTAATGAGAATTTAAAAGAGCAGTAGGTACGGTCAAAGCAACGTGCAGGGTTTGTCCACCCGCATTCAAGAGAACGTTGTTGTGATATCAGACTGGCTCCAAGCCCAGCAGATCCTTGCTTTGACACTGGCTTTCTACGTGTGATGGATTGTCTCTCTGATATACCCTTGACTTTTGTTCCTAGTTCTTATTCTTGTATAGCGAATGGTGATAATGAGGTCTTGGAAGAGATGTCTGGTTAACAGTAAAATGTTGGCAGCAAGCTTTCTAGGCAAGAGGCCAGAACCAGGAAACATTTAGGAAGAGGAAGCCTTTCCTCCTTAAAAATTATATTCTTTCCAGACAAAAACCTTTCAGTGATAATCTTACTGATGAGTAAAGTTTAGCAATCTGGTAACTTCTGATATGAGAAAGCTTTATTCATTTAATAGACTCTGGAAACCAGAAAATGACAAAACTCTTTATCTTATATATTGTAAAAACTTGAGAATTCAGTCGTGGGGATCTTTCAGAGTTACAGTGCTATGCAGTGTCACTTGGTGACAACTCTTCAGAAGGCTGACCTTTGCTTGTGATATTTTTTCTAATATTAAGTAACTGTGCCACAGTATTTGTTAGGAGTTAAAATATATTGCAAGAAGCGCTGAGCTATTTGTTTTTATTTGTGTTGTAGGAGCTCTTGCTAAACATCTTACTAATGTATGTTATACAGTCCTGTAGTCTTATCTTAAATGTGTTTATAAACATTTAAATATGCTACAAAGTGAGAGAGAGGTAGTTCCTAAGATGTATTTCAGTCATGAGCTTTCTGGACTGTTAAGTAACTATAGCCGGTGTGACGCGTCATATGTTACAATTAGGTGGTTTTTTAACAAAGCAAAAAAATAATAACCCAGAACCACGTAAACCCTGAGGCTGCATCCACATTTAGTCGGGGCATAAATGGCAGCTTTCACACTTCTGGTTGGCTGATTGATGAGCTCACCTAGCAAGATGTATAAATACTATACTATGCCTACTGGTTAGTTGCAAATATAATCCAGCCTCCACAAAATTGAAGGCCCTTTATGAAGAATTAAAATTGATTAAGAGTGAACATAAAACGTCTGTGGAATAAGGTTAAATGAGATGCTTTTTGTTTAACCTTGGCCTTATTTTATTTTCCCTTTCTCGTGATTGACTCTTTCTTCATATCATCATTATTTTCTTCCTGTCACTTGTCTTAGATCAGGAGAAAGGCCAAGTGTCTTCATCTGATGGCGATCTGCATTGCAGATCGCTTACCATATCATACGATTACATGAGATTGTCCTGGAAGGACATTTGCAGTTAGCAGAGGTATGCCAGTCTTTCTTACCCAAAGTTCAGGATGCCAGAAAGCACCTGAAGTTGTGCACTTTGAATAAGGTTAATGAGATGCTATCACTAATCCATTCTTTTCTACTGTAATTTGGGAGTTATCTGCTAAGTGTCCTATAAAACCCAAGAGAGAAAGACTTGAAGGGAAGATCACTACTGTGTGCATGTCATTGCTCTCTTTGACGCTTGGCATACTTTTATCAAGTGCACTCTTTGGTATTACATTGAGCATAACCAGAAACTGAGGAAATGTAGCATTAAATCAGAAACGAATCAGCAGGGTCTAGATTTTGCCCTCCATCTTATCTTTCTTTTCGCAGGTGGCTTGCTCCAGATGCAGTTGGATGGCTAGTCAAGAATCTTTATGAACTGTTTGTAGTGTGATAGGGTCTTTGGTGTCTTGAAGAGGCCTCCAAGACATCTAGATAGCACCTCTCCCTGCACCTCAGGCAGTATGCAGTATGCTTAGAGGAGCTTCTTGCTTCCCTGAGTGCCAGAATCCCTTCTGCTGGAGCAGCTAGTAGCATCAGTCATCCCAGAAAAGAGTTTGGAGAAAAAGGAAAGCTGCGTCCACCTCTTTCACTTTGTGCGCAGCTCTGCTCTCTGGATGCCAGGCTCGGCCTGCTAGAGCAACTCACCGCATCCTTGGGCAGAATTATTTAGCTTCCAGCAGATCCTAAGTACACTGGATTTCCTTGGTTCCCAAGGAACATAAATGGATAATGAGCAGTCACCCAGTGCAGAGCTGTGTCTTCAAAGCTCATTGTGTAAATCACTGTTTCACACATAAAGGGAAATTATTTTCTATGCTAGTACGTTATACTGTTTAGGTGTAATAACTATATGTGAAGTCGTAGTAGTAAAAGTGATCCTTCTGAGAAATAGCTTCTTCCTACTAGATTGTTACTGCTATTTAAAACCTGACATATTTAAAACCTGATGTAAAGTTTCTGGAAAGGTTTAAAGAAGCATTAGCAAAAGTGTTGTCCCTTTGCAGGTCTCCAAAGATATGGCTGCTCTTCAGCTGGGCTGTGCTGCCTTCTGGGAGGATGAATGGTTGGACAGTGCATTTAGTTTTCTTCTATTAACATCTTCCTGTAACATTTTAGGACTGGAATTTATTGTGAAAACACTCGTGCTCCCAAGAACCAGTTATGTCGTATTTCAGTGCATGTGCCGAGATTTGCTTCCCCAACCCCAAGCCATTAACTCAAATAATCGTCGAATTGTGCACGTATACAAACAGAGAGCCTGTTGACCAGTTTGGAAAACATGAAGCTGCAAGGGTAGATTTGCTGGTGGGACCTTCTGATGTTGCATGTGGCCACACTCTTCTATTGCCAGCTTTAGACAGTAAAGCTGAATTTGTTTAAGGTGATAAATTGGTAGAGACAGTTGAAAAAATCATTTCATGGAAGAGAACTTTATTTCCCTATTTATATATGGTCAATGATATTCTATTATTTTCTTAAAATAATTAACTCAAATGAGCATTTAGTTTTGAACAAAATAAATAAATGACCAAACTTTCAGGCACATTAATATTTGATTTGGAGATAACTGCATAAATATTGAATTTGAAGATTAAATTCCAGAGCGCTGCATTAAAATTGCAAGACTTTTCTATTATCCTTCATAATGGAACATGAAATTAGAAACTTGTTCATGGAAAGAAAAATTTCTCCACTCTCATCTGCACATTCCCTTCACTGTTGTGAAGGACAGAGGAGCTTTTTTCCTCATAACTGTGAGGAGAGAGATAGCTATCAGTGGGACATAGATCCTGAAGTTGTTTATGGTGCTTTTGAAAATTAATGTATGCCATTTCATAACTGTGTCTCAGTTCTTAGGCTGATACAGAATGCAACTTTAACCTCAGATTTAGCCTACTGTGCAGCAAAACACTCATGTTTCTAGATGTAGAAATCGAGATTTATGACCAGATCCTAAACCAGGTCCTATAGGTGATGCAGCTCTAGTTCGCCTGCAGTTCTTAAATCCAGGGACATCTGTGGTCTTGGCCGATTAGCTGTGGATGTTAGTTACTGTAAACAGTCTGATTAGCTAACATTTATTATTCCTCAAAATGTGTAGGATCTGTTGAATACAGCAACTTGTGATTATTAATGGAATTCAGCCCCCCCTTCTGAAAGCATTTGCTAATTCACATCTGCCAGGCTTGACTTTCTGGGGAATAATTCTGAAAATGGGATAACAAATAAAAACCTGTATCAGGCAGTCCCAAAACACCTGTGGGCATGCAGTCCAAAGTGTTTTCAAATATAGATTGATTTGGCAGCTGCTTTTTCGTGTTATAGTGGTTTCAAATAATTCATTTCTGTAACATTACGGTTCTACAGTTCTTCTTACCCATGGTTCAGCAATAAACAAAATATTTTTCCCTGTAGACTTGAAAGTGGAGCAAATAAACTCATTCCACAGCAAAGAGCAATGCAATTGTACTTCTTCCTAATTAACTATACCCCAGTAGAAAAATTCGTGGAATAATAACATGGGAGGAAATTGGTCATTTTCACTTTATGTACAGTTTTCTATTTTTCAAAAACATGCATTTATTTAGAGGCAGAAGACTACTACATAGATTATTTTTAGTTCCTCTTCATGCTGTGGTTCTTCTGCAGTGGTTTGTAAAGAGTTAATGCATATTACAAATACGCCAGTTGAGCTCTGTAATTTGCATAGTTTTGTCTAAGGTCAGTAGAAGGTGTAAATGATGTTTAGAAGAAATATATTGATCTTTGCCCCTATAACTGGAATGTATAACTGACTAATCATTTATTAAACCTCTCTACATTATTTATGAACAGAACAGAGATATAAACAGTGACCTTTTTATCCCTTTTTGTTTGGGAGAGTAGCTTCTTTATTTATCGAGCTAGTGATGATAACAAAATACAGATTAACTTTTAATGACTGCTTTTGTGTTCTTTCAGATTTATTAGAAAACAAGGGCTGGATCGGCTTTTCCTGGAATGTGATACGCATATGTGGCGTTTGGGGGACCGACGGATCCCCGAAGGAATCGCGGTCGATGGAGGATCTGACTGGTTTCTCCTGAACAGGAAGTTTGTGGAGTACATAACTTATTCCAATGACGACCTGGTATTCAAAGCAATCCTTCTTTTCTCAAAACTGCAACTTTTATGCTTGTTCCAAAGATCACTGAAGTCGGAGGGGCTTTTCCTCGATTTCAGCGGGCTTTGGATCGTCCCACTGTTGGTAACGAGAATTTTACCTTCCTGACAAGTCAGTTCTTTAGCGTTAAACTACTTCTGCTGTCACTTAGTTGGTTTGTTTGTGGGACCTTTTTGCAAGGAGTGGCTTTCTCTTATGCTTTTGAGCCCATTACTCTATTACTGAGCAGCCAAAAATCCAGCTGCCCTTTGCTTGCCAATTGTTCCTCCACAAAGACTTTGAAGACTGTTAGAGATGGAGAAATGTCTTCCCAAGTAGCTCTTATCGCCATTATACAACCTTTCTACTTAAAAATAAAAACTCTGCAAACAAAGGTTTATTGTTCCGTTGAAAACTCAGCTAGCAGGCATAGTCACAAAGCGTTCAGATCATTCAGGAATCACTCCTGCTGCAAGCGATGCAGAAAGGGGGCGCCCACCGGGACAGGTTTGGGTCTAGCATGGACCGTGGCCAGGGAACGTGCACTGTTGTCGAGTAGAGCACAGGGCCGGGCACGTTCCCATGCTGTTGGGCTCCTGCCCTGGCAGGTACGCCGCTCCTCGCCGTGTCAGGCTCTTCTCCGAGGTTACGGAGCATGCAGCCGTCCTGAGGAAGAACTGATGACTGTCTTTAAAGCCATGACTTCCCTCCTCACTGGCAGCCCCTGAACATTTTGAGGGATTGATGAGAACAGTCTTGCAAATTTAGGCTTATTAGCTTGCAGCAGAGCACAGTGATTGTCATCTTTTGACTGAGGTTTATTATTCCACACACATGTTGAATAATCTTGCTTTAATCCCATTTCTGTTAAAAATCACCTTTTCTCTCAACTCTGATAACCTTCTCATCCATTATCTAGCAGAAATTTCTGTATCGTTCTGAAAGGACACAGGGCAATGGGTAATTGGGTAGGGTTTTTTTTTTCCCCTCGCTTGAATGAGAAGGGATGCCTTTATGGGTTTAACCAAACAATTCAAGCATAAAATCCATATTCACTGAGCTGTCATTTAACATTAAAAAGGGTAGGGGGATTATTTGGGGGCCAGCCATGCTAATGTAATGCCAGCTATTTATAGATTGTACTATAGCTGATTTTAGAAAGAAGTAACTGTTCTTAAAATCATCTCTCACAGAGCTAAATTTGACCATATTCTATTGCTTCTCTCTACAAGGTTTTCTTTACAAGATACATGTCTCACTTCTGAAAATCACCCTGCCTTCACTGACCTTTTAACCTGCTGTATCAGTCCCCATCACCCAAGATTTATGTAATAGCTGAAATTATGGTGATATAATTAGGATAGCCCAATAGGAATTCCTTGCTGCCTTGAGTCAGCAAATAGAGACTTATGATTTCGGATGTAATTGCAGGAGGCAGAATGTCCTTCTGGTGCCTGGGGTGAACTGTATATTTCAGTACAAGGCCATTCAACTAGCAATGCATTTCAGAGCACTGGAAATGCAGAGACCCACGGAAGAGCTCTCTGAGACTGTATTTTTCATGATAGCCATGGCGGTGGCTGAGGTTTGAGAGTTGTCTTAAAAAACAACTTGAGATTTATCATCAACGCATTGCTCAGGAAAATGACCCTGAATTTGCTGGACCAGAGAGTAACTTATTGAAGGGAAATAATGGGAATTTCTTAAATTGCTCATACACTTGAAATAAAAATAAAATAATTGCTGGCATCGGTGCATTTCCATTCCAGTGTCCAAAGCTGGCCATTATTCTGTGCCAGCTTATTGTAGTGTGCCCTCAAATGTATGCTATTACTGTTTGGCTGTGTCTATAGTGTGCTATAATTTGTCATGCTCTATAGGATGCATATGTGTGGAACGTCCTTTATACATGGCAAAACAATGGAAGCTGTTAGTCCTCTCATTTTGAAAGAAAATAAGTCACCTGAGTTCGGTTCAGGCCCACAGGCGGCACTGGAGGAGAAAATGGAAGTCTGAAGAGGTGAATACACTGATCTGGTCTTTTTTTCTTGCAGTCCTTCTTTCACACCGTTCTGGAAAATAGCCCATACTGTGACTCCATGGTGGACAACAATTTGCGTATCACAAACTGGAACCGTAAACTGGGTTGCAAATGTCAGTACAAGCACATTGTGGACTGGTGTGGCTGTTCGCCTAACGATTTCAAACCAGCAGACTTCCACAGGTTCCAGGTAACTGAAGCGTTCTCTTCTCTGATTTCCCCAAAGGAGGCTTTTGGCTCTTGCTCCTGGGTGTGGAGAGCAGGGTAGCTGCATGGCCTCAGCAGTTTAGGAGAAGGAAAAGTCTCTTCTCCTGTATTCTGCCACTCGAGACTTACCGCTGTGTGACAAGATGTCGCACAGCTCTTTGGAGCCTTCCCACTGGTCGGTCTGCTGTGCTGGGAAGGATGGAAACCTGAGGCACCTCACACAGGTAGCAACATTAGTCTTGTGAATTTATTGCAGACGTTTTTTTTTCAAGGTTATATAGTTCAGATGCTTTCATGATTTCAGGAAACTACTGCCTTTCATAGTAAAACAACAGTGATTTTCATCCTCACAGTTTAAAAGAAAGCTAAACAATTTGACTGGAGTACCTACTAGAGGCTTATATAGCACAAGGCAAAACAATTTTCATTATTATATTCTTAAACGTGATTATATTTAAGTTTATCTCATGGTTTGGGGGCCAGAGTCATGAGATTTTGGTCAGCCAGGTTTCACAGTACTGCCTTAACAAGTTTAATTGATTCCTTTGTGATACGGTTTCCTCAAGGCAGACATGAGAGCTAATTCTCGTGTTCAAGGGTGCACTTGATCTCAAGACTGTATCTGGCCTGCGTATCTTCCATTAAGAATGAACAACAGCTTGTTTCAAGGTCACCAGATTTGCACTTCCATCCCTCCAGCTCCTCAGGGTTCCCTGCATAAAGCATGTTTGTTCAGGCTTTGTGTGGGATGGGAAGTGTGTTACCCTACAACACAAAAATGATGACTACTCCAAAACAGAGATCTTTTCTTTATTATAATGCGCTGCCTACCAGGCGCAGTTGAAGTCAGTGACACAGACATAAAAAGAGCAAATGAGACATTATCCCAGAGAGCCTCTGCTTTCCCAAACTCTGATCTCAGAAAAGTCTCTAGCGCGGAACAAATGGGAGATCTTAAAAAGCTACTGAAAGTCTGCAGAGGCTAACCTGCTTCATGCTGGGAAAAGAAGCCATAACAACATTTCAGGAAACTATCAGGTAAACTGAACAGCAAGGGAAAGTTCAAAATTAGAATAGCTGAAAGGGCAGTTTCTGACATGTGCCTGATAAGAGAGCCCTGCAGTAAGGCCTTGCACCTTGCACCAGGAGGCTTGCAGCGAGGGTGTCAGAGAGCACGCCGCATGAGCCACCCTCAAGCAGACATGAACGTCCTCCAAAGAATTTGTCCATGGTCTGTGGCGCTTTTGAACTCCTCAGCACCTCAAAACTCATGCCCAAATACGAAAAAGGCAAAATAGAGGCGTTTTAAAAGCTAACGGTAATTGGCTAAGCAGCACATAAACTGGCGGCACGCGTGAAGTTCTGCTGAGTGCAGAGCAGAGAAGCTGTAAGGGCCTGGTCAGAAGCTGAGGAGCCTCAGCCATGGATGGCATCTCTCCCAAATCCCCTTCCCGCCTCGCAGTGCCAAATCCATGCTGTGAACAGCCCAGAGAGATGAGTATCAAAGGCCTGAAAAACACTTTACAGAAACTGTGAAATGTGTCACCTCACACGGGCCTGCTTAAAGTCCAGCTTTGGCCCTTCCAAACTCTGTGCCCCCATGCCCACGGTACTCTTCTCTGCCCGCTCGACCGCTAGTGCTGCACAGTCTTCTTGCTAACATGGCATTTTAGAGAGATTTCACAAACACTCCTGCACATGGAGTGCCCAGAGCAGGGCAGCAGAAGGTGGCTGTTGGTACAAAGGGACTGGCCAAAGTAGAGAACAAGAAAATATGTCTGCCACCATAATAGTTGTCTTAGATTTCTTGCGCAGAATTTTTCTTTTTATTTGACTTGTTCCCTGACAGCCAGCCATTTGGGAAAAATACTGCTGCTGTCCTCATATTCTTGGTATCCAGACATTTGTATTTCTTCCCCAGGAGACAGATAGCAGTTTGCTAACGAAGGGAGAGGGAAGGGTTGGAGAAGGCTCTCCTGACTTCAGCATAGTGTCTGGTCTAGAGGGTTCATTCTGAGAAGGCCAAAGCAGCATCCATGTGCTAATATAAATAAATTAAATAGAGGGAGATGCTTCAAAGGAATGCTTATTGCTGAAAATATGCAAAGAGTGGACAGCAGGGAAGGAACCCAAGCTGTGCAGTAATTCTTGTGGCTTTGGTTCATCTCCCTTGCTCACTCTGAGGATAAACGCTCCTGAAGCCTGTCCTGAAAGAAACGGTTGTGTCTAATCTGGGTTTCTTTTCCACTTCATTTAGACTCTCCTTCTAAATTCTTTACTGAGCTTCTCAGGAAGGTGATAGTTGTAAGTCAGTTATCTGGCCTACTTTGGGGACTGGTAGTGCCCAGGGACTGGTTCGCAGAGTCCCAGAAGTGGAGGTAGTGGTGCTTCCTCGCTGATGTCTGGGACTGCTGAGTCGCACAGAGCGTGGAGCTGCGACTTCGCCTCCATCCACTCCCGCGCCCTTGTCCCCAGCCCTCATATCATGATGCTACAGCCTTACCCTGGTCTCAGATGTCGTACAGAGACTGGGCGATGACAGCAATCAATCATCCCTGTTTTGTCCTAATTTCGGGTGACCGTTCTGATGGCATTATACCAGAAATGAGCAGGGCCAGGGCATGGGTTAGGCCCTGGCACACAGTAGTCCATGCTGTGTAAATGTTAGCGTGCTCTGTGGCGTATTTTTGACCCATGCCAACTAGCAATGCCTGAGCAGGGCTCAGGAGAAAGGAACAGGGGTTGTTCAACAGCCAGCATAGATGAGGCCACCTCTTCTATAGGGAACAGTCAAGCCATATGGATGCATATGCACCATGGCACTTGCCCTCAGGAGCAGGGCATGGGCCCTACCCTACTTTATTTACTAGCATAAGCACAGTCCAAATAGCTTCTGTACAGCTTTGTTTTCACTATAGACATGTTCACACATTGCATTATCTGGAATAGCTATTCGGCTGTAAATAGTCTGTCACTTCTCTGCCAGAGTGTTTGCATGTAGACTCATCTGTAAAGTGATTCAGGAATTGTAACCAAGTTTTAAAAGCACGCACTTAACTTAATGCAAATTTACTTCAGGAGATAGGTGAGCCGTTATTTCAAAATAACTGACCCACTTGAGCCATTTAATTGATTGACACAGATGATGAATTGGTGGAAATTATTATTTATTCTATCTGACCTTAAACAAATACAAATAAAGTGAATCATAAAAGAGAGACACTGAGAAATTTTGAATTTCTGATATTTTAAATGGCAATTTCTTAAATTCTTTCCTGTTTCAAAAATGCTTTTCATAGCAATGAGTTATCTATGTGCAGTGCTCTAAAATCCCTTGTCCAAGTAAGTAGCAAAGGAGCCTGTTCTATCATTAGAGGAATAATGGCATAACCCATGATTTTCCTTAAGTTTTCCGTTTTTCTTTAACTGGATTTGTTTTCATACCCCACCTATTAATGACAGGCATAGAATCTCACTTGCTTTCATTTTAATCCCCTAAAATGCTTTAGCATTTTCCTCTCATTTGAATGGCAGTGCTGCCTGAAAATTCAGGAAGAAAAGGTTGTTTCCAGTGACAATATGCTGAGAAGAGTCATGGAGACTGCAATCATCCTGTTCGTTTGGGGTTTCATGCAATGGCGATGGCAATATGTTGTCTTAGAACCTCAGCATACCCTCCCCTAAACGGGGGTGGTCCACTGATAGATGACTTTGCAGTTAATAGGCACTTGCATCTTATGAACAGTTGTGGAAAACTCAGTCACGCTCTTTCTTTTGTCTGGTCTTATCCTGTATCCTCGTTGGCAATTGTCAACTTACTCCTGACTGCAGTGAGTTTTATTTTCCCGTGGCAGGATGGGAAGATAGGACTGGCCATCTCTTTAAGAGATCTTGTGCCAACTCGGCACCTGGGTTGGCTCTGCCTGAGCAGTATTAAGGAATGTTTGACAAAAAGCAAACTCATGTCTTTCTGTATTGAATTATTATATTTAATACAGGTTTGGTAAATGGAATCAGAGAATCAGAGAATAGCTGAGGTTGGAAGGACCTTTGAAGGTCTCTAGATCAACCACCTGCTCAGAGCAGAGCTAACTTCAAATTTAGAGGAGGTTGCTCAGGGCCATGTCCAGTTTATCTTCAGCTCTCATCGCAGTATCCACTAAAGCACACTGCACCACTTCTGTATCCTGTTGAATTACTGATAAGTGAAGTTTTGGTAGACTTCAAGAACTTCTTTTATCCAATTTAACCTTGAAACATCTTGCTTCCTCATCTCATGCCCGGCCTATACTTACTGGCCCACAGGCCGCTTTTTCTCTTTCAGTTGCAAGGATGGGCCTGATGCCAAGGGTGTCCCTGTCCTCCACATGAGAGGCCTGCAGGCAGGGGAGGGCTTTCCATTTTTGCAGCAGACCAGAGCCATCTATACTTTTGTTGAGTAACTGTGTAGTTTTTATCTGAAACTTACCACGCTCACCAGTTAAGTCATCTTTGCCTGTGGGAAAATGCTGTTTGAATCCGCAACTCCAGCCCTGGGCTTAGGTCGAAGAATTGCGGCTGGAAACAGGAACTAACTCTGGTTTCTTTTTCTTCTGCGTTACCACAGCAGACTGCCAGGCCAACGTTCTTTGCCCGCAAATTTGAAGCCGTGGTGAACCAAGAGATAATTGGCCAGTTGGACTATTATTTGTACGGCAACTACCCCTCTGGCACGCCAGGTCTCAGGTCATACTGGGAGAACGCGTACGACGAGCCCGATGGCATCCACACCCTCAGTGATGTGGCACTGACCATGTACCACTCGTTCTTGCGCTTGGGCCTGAGGAGAGCTGAGACTTCGTTCCACACCGCTGGAGACAACAGCTGCAGGTTAGCCTGAAACATCTTCCTCTTTATATGTGGAAGCAGGATTCGTCCGTGTGTCAGCAATTCCCATGGGTTTCCATGGAGGATGGCAGGTCTGGGGGCTTCAGAGCAGACAGACCAAATTACCAGGCACCAGAGGATGTTCACCTGCTTTGCTGTGCTGGCTGGAGCATGTAGTCACGCAGAGCCGGGCAGCGGCAAGGGGAAGGAACCTATTTCCCAGAGTTTTTGTGCCTGCAGTAAGGTATTGGTATTCAGGGTTGACATTATGGGACTTGGCTGTTGCACTTTTCAGGAGCTGCTCTACATCCTGATCAAGACTGACAGGTTCCAGTTGGGCAGCGCTGCCCCTGCTGTTGTGTTTTCTTTATTAATTTCAGTGAGTATATTATACCCACAGCTCCTAAACCCTCAGCGTCATTTCAGCAGAGGTGTTCATGTTTATTATGCATACAAAAAGTGGAGGACGGGATTTCGGAATTAATCTACACATAGGCAGGTTAACGGTCCTTGCTTGTTTGTTCCCCTGGGTGCACATACGGAGCACAAAGAGCTGGTTTCAAGAGCTCTGTTTGCTTACTTGCTACAGCGCCCTGTGCTTAAACTGTTGCAATAGGTGGGATCCATTAACATCAAATAAATAATCTGTACGTATATATAAACATATATATAGTAAAAAAAGGTCCTTAGGAAAAAAACTGTATTTTAGCTTCCTTTTTCACCTATAAGTGTAGGAAAGAATAACTCAGTCTGAAAGTATTTGTAGGAAGAATTCCTAGAGTTAGATTTACACAGAAGAGGCTTACTTCAGGGTAGATGTGTGCTGCCTGCAAACACATTTGAAGCTGTTTACATTTCAGAGCAGATACAGTTCATCTTTTAAAGTCTTACTTTGCAGTCTCTAGTTCCTGCTTCAGAATGTATCCCTGGTACCCAGCCTTTTTTAATCCTTATGGAAAACACAGCCTCAGTCAGCAACTGCTGAAGACATTCCTTGTGCCTTGATGAATGACGCTTGTCCCTCTTGTGCTCTCCAGAGGAACCTAATGCTTTATGACCTTCTTCTCATGGAAATGCAGAGCAATGTCCCACCTAAAAAGACGTGGCAATAAGTGATCTAGATTCTTATTACAGCTTTGCTAGTAAAGGTTACCAGTGCAAAGCAATAAAAGGTCGATAACAATTAGATATAAATAATCACAAGTGGAATACATTCCCTTCTATGAAATAAAGGCAGACCTAAAGAATTCCTGGGTCATTTGTCCTGTACAGTGGAGCCAGGAGAGAGGATGGGAGCTATGTATAACCAGTACTAAAATAATTTCACAATTACTTTTGTGCTTATTCCTTTTGCCAATGTCCTGATGATGATTTATAGCAATAATCAGTTTCATTTCTGGGGAGCTTTTCGTTCCACAGGAACTCAAGGTGCTTTTCAAGCTTGCTCAGATTCTAGACAGGGAAGTCATGTCGCCCACCACTGATTGCAGCTGTCTCCGGGATAAGACACAGCTCCTCTGCTGGCTGGAGCCTCGTGAAACAGTGCAGGGAGGAAGTGCGAACAGGGATATTGCAGGAAGGCTTCATTTACATACCTAGCTAAGCCTCGCAAAACAAGCACTGCTAGTCAGTGTGCAAATTAAATCATATAAAAGTGGATAATCCTCAGTTTTATGTTTTGCCTCTCTTCTCTCTTGATATTCCGTTCTCTTTCTAGGTGTACGCGTGTGTACACTTCTTCCTTTCCTCTCGCAGTTTTGCATGTCTCTCTAGCAGTAATAGAAGGAATGTATTTGGACTGAGCACTGCAACAGTATTGCCTTTGCTGCAAGGGCTAAGAGCGGTGTGAAGCTCGCTCATATTGCAGTCGCCATCGGTATTGGGTTCGCACGGCTGCTGGCGCTGCGAGGAGAGCCTCTGCTGCTTACGATCACGGTGGAGTCAACCCCGCGCTGCCACCCGCAGCTGCCCAGGAGACTTGTATAAGAGACGCTGCCTTGCCCACTTCTCTAACCGGGGCGAGCTCACCGCCTCGCAAAGACAAGCCCCCTGCAGACTGCTCCCCTACCAAATCAGATTGCACATCAGCATCTGAAGTGGAAGCAACATTAATGTGTGATTGAGGTTCAATTTATTTCTCTCCATCTCCAGACATTTTTACTCGCTGCTGCCAAGAGACAATTTACTCAGGCTATTTCAAGGATATTGTAAATATTTGCTGCTACACACGTATAAAACAGGAGGCTTTAGTGTTCCGAACAGAAGTTAGACTGTTGCTTGCATTGGCTGCGTAGCTTTGCTGTGTTTTTGCCCGGTCCATCAGTGCTGGCTGTGTTTGTACTCATCTCATTGGGTTTACTTCTCAAGCTCTAGAGAGTTCCTCCTAGGTGTTACTGGTTTCAGGTAATGGAAGGTCATCACTGGTTAGCTCTTCTTCGTGCTAGCATCTAGAGCTATAATAACCAAGATGAGGAGTCAGTCTTAGGTTGCTTGATTTCCAGTTGTTTTTAAATGTGTGGCAAACACACTTGTTTACAGTTAATGTCAGTGCTGCAAAATAACAAATTATTCAGTTTCAGAGCCATGAACAACGTCTTATTTATTTATTTATTTATCCATACGTGCCCACACACACATCATTACAAAAATCTTTTTGAGGCTGCAACAGACAATTGGCCCTAAATTTTAAATCATTTGAACCCATGACTACAGTGTCTCTAATGTCCAAACTGTAACTGAAGGCTTCCAAATCTCCTGTTTAGATTTTTTTTTTCCTATTTGGTTGACTGAGATTGTTTTTTAATCATGAGTAAAAAATCCTTGGCAAGAGCAATCCAGGTCTTTCATGAATGTGAAGTTCATTTCATTAAACCTGGGATGAGTTTCTGCCATCCATTGCCCCTAGGCAGCCCCGCAGAGCATTGCCCTTGCGGACTGAGCTTGGTGATCGGAGAGGGAGATTTGTTTGGGCTGAGCTGAGCTGGGCATCCATCAGCGAGTTTGGCGTGGCGTGGGTGCCTTCCTTGGCCTTGGAGCACCCTCTGCTGTCCCTGGCCCGCAGCTCTCAGGCAGCATGCAAATAAGTTGCTGCCTCCTACCAGGTACTTTTAGGGACTAACCCTACTGAAGGCAGAAAAAAGGAGAAGAACACCTGATTTGGGGCATTTGACATTTCTTAAACATCATTTAGTCCAGTAGACAGTGCTACAGCCTGACAGTGTACATCTCTGGGTAGGACTTCTTACCCAGAAGAGGTAGTGAGGGACTGGAGGTTTCTGGCATGCCCAGGTTGCTCCTAAAGAGCTTATGGCTGTGAATAGCTTCTAAATGAGCATATGTCCTTAGTAACAGTTTTTATGTTTCAGGGTAATCAGAACAGCCTAAGAATATTTGATAATGAGTAATGAACACATTTGAAATGTTGTTATGTAACAATGGTGAATTTTCTAGTCGAAATAAAAGCCTTCTTAAGCCATTAGCTCCAAGTAAATGGAGATTTCATATCTCGTGTGTGTGTGTAAGCGATGAGCATGTGGTTGTGCTGTCTTACAGATACTATCCCATGGGCCATCCAGTTTCAGTCCACCTTTACTTTCTTGCTGACCGTTTCCAAGGCTTCCTGATCAGACATCATGCCACCAACCTGGCTGCCAGTAAGCTAGAAACTTTGGAGACATGGGTGATGCCAAAGAAAGTCTTCAAAATTGCAAGTCCACCGAGTGATTTTGGAAGGCTGCAGTTCTCAGAGGTAAGTGTGCTTAGCCACCCATTCACAACATCATGAGCCACTGCAGAGCTTGCATGCTAATTCAGCAGCCCTCGGAAACAGTATTTCCATCTAATTCTTAGGTCAGAGGAGCTTTCCAGTTTAATGTACAGCCTCTTTATTAAAAGAAATACAGTTGTAGAACGGCTTGGTAACTTAAAAAATTTGGGATTGCTGTCAGCTCTAGCTATGAGAGAGTCCTGGGAGCTGAAAAATGCCATGTTTTTGCCGTTCCAGATGGGGATGGGGATATGGTAAGCGTTCTACTCAAGAACATGCTGAAAAAACATAAATTTAGCAATAGTCAGGCACCAGTGCCACATCTGACTAGAATATTGATGTTGCAACATCAAAGAGAAAATTATCACAGCAGCGGCTGAGAATTCCCACAAAGCCTGTTATTTCTTCTTGGAATTTGTCTCCGTATCTGACATACGGTATAAAAAATGTACCCCTAAAATATATTAGGAAAGTTGACCACTAATAGAACCTGACATCTCTGTTCTGTTTTAAAGATATAACTGTCTGAGCAGTTAATTCCATGATTTTTCTCATTAAGCCACAAATTTCAATTAAGGCATAAAATTGATTGAACAAATGTGGTCAAGTCATTATGGTCAAGTCCATAAATTACTGTCTTCTTGGGCAATTAAGAAAGGCCTAGGTAGGATTCAGTGTTTTGGTGTGCATGGCAAATCCATGACACTAATGTGCCATTAAAGAGATGGATGGAAGGTGTGTTTCCTTTATCAATGTGTCTGGTGGTAGACTTGCCATTTCATGCAGTGATAAATGGTCATACAGGCTTTAATTCTTGAAATTTGTAGGAGAAATGGTGCTATTTATTTGGCTCTTTTAATCCTGCTTTCAGCCTGATACCTGCCCTGAGTTTTCCCTTTGCAAGCAGTGGGTCTGGTAGCAGGAATAGCTTTTCTAATTGTATGATAAAAATAATATATTAGTATTTTAGAACTTGAATAAAAAATGTTAGAAAGAATAGCTGTGATTTCATCTCAGTCATAGGGAGGAAACAAACCTGGGAGCACAAATTCCTTGCTGGCCACTCGCCAAGTCCCCCTGACCCCGATGCACTGGAACTGATCCTTTTTCCCCCAAAGCCAATCCTGCAGCAGCCGTGGGCCTGGTCTCCAGATGTCCTGGAGCAGCAAGGCCTGGTATCAGTTCCCCTGATGGGGGAAGCAACTGGCATGTTGGTGGCCTCTTTACTGCACTTTGCCCACTGTTCTGTGGAGCATGGTGCCTTGAGGGAGGACCGCAAATCTCACCTGACGAGTGAACTGTGGCTTGTGGCCTCGGAGAGCACGGCTGCTCTGCAAAGAGCCCTGCTTGACTGCTGCTGCCGTGGGAGTTGTGCGAGCGCGAAGCTTGGGAAGGGTTGTTCTGTGGTGAGCTTTCGTCAGGCTAGGGAAAAGTTTTCTTCCATGTGAAATGCGTGAAAAGAGTTTTGGTATTTGCTTGCTTGCTTTCATTATTTTTTCTCACTTATACTCCTGAATTGTCCTTCTTTCTTAGATGATTAATATCTTAAAAGACCAGGAGGTGCAAAGTCACTCATTTAGTTATTTTTTAATCGTTTGTTTTACTTTTGCCTTTCCTCGGCCAGCAGGCATCTCTGCCTCTGGGCCAAATTATTCCCTCAGGTAGCCTGGTGTAAATCCAGCGTTAACCTCTTTGGCTTCCGTGAGGCTGGTAGGCCCCTGCTCTGCTCACTGCTTATTAAAATGCCATGTCTTTCTCAGAGTCCAGTAAGTGTAAAACAAATTCAGCAGTCCAGCTAAGGTGAGGGCATCAATGTTCACAGGTTGCACACCAGAAAAGAAACCTGAAATTTGTGTTTATTGAGACATGTTACACTGCTGCTTTTCCAACAACTTTCATCCCATGATCTGGCAGTGATTTATAACTGAATAGGGCCTTTTTTAGCTGGGAGCTTTGTTCCCTCTTCGAGCTCATACCAGTGAGGCTGGCAGGAAGAGCCCAAATATGCTGCGTTAAATGTGCTCCTGGGCTTGTTTGTGACCCTGATGCACAACCAAAATTGCTGCAGAGACGACAGGATCTCCCCAGCTGAGAACCAGCCCTCCCTGCCCACTGTTGCTCCCTGCTTTGCTTCTCCAGCTTGCCTTCCTGAATAGCGGGTTTGCCGCAGAACCAGTGTAAAGGCAAGCTGAAAAAATAAGCCAGCTGCATCACCTAACAGGGTTAATGATAGCGTTTCAGTTGCACAGGGCTCCTCGCACTCGGTTTTGAGCAGTTACATAAAATTACAGGAAATCCAAGAGAGAAGATTTCCAAGGGTGAAACCTCCGCCCTGCTTTTTGCTGGGAAACTCCCACATCTCCCAAAATTGGCTTGTAAATAATACACATACTCTGTATCCTACTACTACCCTGGATTCATGATAACTTTTACATGGAGGGCGGAAGATTGATTTGCTATAGAGTACTAAAAGTCTCGGCTCCAACTATATCAGTGGAACACGAAGTTCATTGCTGGTCTTGTTAAGACTTGTGATTCATCACAGAGAATAAAATAAACTAGGTGGCAGGCAATTAGTGTGCATTGTGTGAACCTAATGGTCCTGTTTGTGGTGAGCAATGAGACACAAACCCATAATCAAGGCCTAATTTATCTTGGGAAAATTTTATCTTGGGACTGAGCAGAGACAGAAAACAAGAATTTTAAGCCAGTGAGAGAGTTACAGCTTTCCAAGCGTGCCCGTGCTCATTGCCTGCTCTTGAAGCCCAAAATAATGGTGATTAAAATACTTATGTGTAAAATGTGAGTTTCTGTGCCACATCCCTTCATGTTATATCAGATATTCATTACTGCTTGATTCCCTCCCATACTTTGTGTATTCCACTTGAAAGTGAAAGCCTACTTAAGATGTTTTAAGGGGCTATGAAAAATATTATAGGACTGTAGTGTCTCTTGGCCTGTAAAATCAGACATCTTAGTACCAGGAACTCAGCTGTGTAAAATTCAGGGGAAGATGCATAAGCCTCTAAATACGGCTTTAAATAAAATTCCCGTTAAACTGTGCTTCTAAAACCAGCTTGTACTGTAAGCTGTGTGGCACAGGAGAGTCTGTACCCCAGGCAGGAGCTAGATATAAAGGACTGATCTTGTAAATAAATGTGTGCAGCTCCCTTCTCTTTGCTTCTCTAATGCGCCTGTGGTCCTCCGTGAGATGGCACGTGTGCTCCCATCACATATCTTTCAACCTTTTTTTTTGCATTGTGGGACTCACCTGCAGTGCCGGGTTTCTCTCATGGCTGATCACTGAGGGGTCTGAGCACGCCTCTGTGACATCAATAGCAGCTGCTGGTTGCATGAATTCCCTGCTACACCTCTGCCTCAGGGCTGAGATTGCTGTTTGAGGTAGGTGTTGGTTTGATTGATTTGGACAAAGCTTTTTCCAGTCGATAGCAGTGACCTTTTGGTAAGGTGTCATTCTGATGGTGGAGGGACTTTCTTGAAGAAGCAGGCTTACAGTATTTCCTAAAAATTGTTCCAGTCTGGATTTCTCTGATCCTTCTGGAAAATCCTTCATTAACAGGATCTCGACATAACATCGTTTTCTTCCCCTGTTCTCATGAGCTTGGTGATCTGCATTGCTTTAGATGGGCTCGGATTTCATAGACTGAAATATGATCTTCAATTTAGCCAGGCCTTGGGCCATTAATTGCTTTGAAAATTACAGGGACTGGGCAGGAGGCCTGTAGCAGGGTATGATGTGTTTATGATACTGTAAATCATAGAGGAGGTGGGTGCTGCTTACTCCATGCATCATCTTCACAATTAGTTTCAGATACAGTGAGTTATAGATATTCAGTTCAAGGTGATGAATACAAGGAGAACGGCATCCACGTGCTGGACCAGGAAGAAGAGATAACACTAGAGGACACAGAAAGCATTTTTAAATACAGATTTAAACACTGCATTTTAAATTCCAAGGTTACTGATTCAAACTGCATCCTGAGGTTTTTATCCCTTATGGCAAACATGCTTAGTGCAAGATCTTGCTACTCCTTCAGAAACCGGTGGCAGCGCTGGCTGCTGTCTTGCTTGCATTCAGTTTGAGCCAGCTCTTTCATCCAGGAGCTCATTTTTAGAGGCCTCCTGATTCGTCTGCAGCACCACTGATTGCATCACTGGAGAATAAGGCATCCAGCAGAGCAGTACTGGCATCCATCAGGCAGCAAAGTTGCTCTGGGTCCTCATAATGGTACTGAGGGGAACTGGTTAGTATTGCTTCCTGCTGGATCTGCTATCTAAACGTGATAAAAATTTGTCACTCTTGTATGAGCAGGAAAAAAACCTGGAGTGGTCAGATACGTATTTCCCTTTTCGTCAGAGGGGCAGGCTGGTGCTCTCTGTTTTGGTAAAACCTGCGTGCATTTGTCTGTGAAAACAGCCAAAAGGAGGCCAGATGCAAAGCCCCAAGAGCCATGCCAGTACCTTGCTGTGGTCTGCGCCCCGGTTCTGGGGCAAGCGGGACGCTGCACGGTACCTGCGTGCCTTGCCTTCGTGTTGCTCAGCGTCTGCTCCGTGGCAGCATTTTTCTCTTGTTATTTTCATGGCCCTGCACACCCTGACAGTGTTGTTATGGCAGGTTTTCATGGGAAGCAATTGCCACCAGCAGGAGAGTCATCCCTTCCTCCCCTGCCCTTTGGCTGTAGCTTCTGGGTTGCATTAGGGAAGCCAGTAACAGGCCTTTGCATTAGGAAAGACAGTAACAACCAGGTGAGGTTAAATCGGGTCCTGACGAGCAGTATATAGTTACTGCAGGGTGTGTGTTGGGGGAAAGGACCTTGCAGCACTGGGGAGGATACCTGGGGGAAGATGCTCACCTGGGGACCCAGTACAGCTCTTCCCAGCTGGCCACTGTGGAGAATCTTCCCTTTCCCTTTTGTCTCGCTCCCCCTCTCTTTTTATTTTTCCCCAAAAGTAACTCTCACTCTTCTACAGACCCCTGTAATAAATTTTTGTGTATGTGAACATGCCTCAACATCCTTTGTCCAACAAGGCTGTTGAGCAGTGCCACCTACTCTTGGAGGACGGAGAATGTGATATCATTTCCCAGGGATGAGAGGCTAGAGACAGGAGCTGGATGTCAGGGCTGAACATTTAATATTTGAGAATGAAAGTGAACTTTCTTCAAGGAGTTCTTTAGACATGCTTCAGTAAAAGATATCGCGTGTCATGGAAAGAGCTGTTCCTTTTAGGATTTTCTTTGCCCAGGAGAGTGTGGATTTGTTTCACATGTTGTGGGTTTATTATTTCTAGATCTCTTGAGCTGCAGTAGTGTGACATGGCCACACTCGGTGAAGGTTGGTAGAGTACATAATAAGATCTGGCCAGGAAATTTTCTTTCACAGCTTAGTTCCATACAAATTCAGTTGGTCTTGTCAGGAGAGTGCATGCTGACAGCTCTTCAGGGCAGCCGACGCTTAGGTCTGATATCTGGGCCATGCTGTCTAGGGGTTGATTAGCTGATGTGCTAGGTGAAGTACTTCTGCCAGCTGTGACTCTGCTGTGGTGATTGCAAAGTAGTAGAGGGCTCATTTTGTTTCTTATTCTGCAGTGTCATAGTACTGTAGGAGAAATTTGTATGCTGACAGATGGATTTAGGACATTAGTTTTTTATTCTGTTGGCCTTACAGCTTTTTGCTTGCAGTCCCTATGTAATTCATCTACCAACCACAGTGATTTGCTTAGAAAAGACCGGAGACTGGATAGTTTCCCGTACAGATAGCGGTGGTAGTAGACATCAGGTAATTGTTATGTTTTACCGATTTGGGGGATTTTGACATTGGATTGGGGCCTCTTATTCTCATCAAGTTGGATGAAATCTAGAAGAAAAGCCTTTCAAGCAAATCAGCTACAATTGTTTCTTACTCTTTCAGGAAAGTAGGTTCTGACTATGGCCCGTGCGAGGTGACAGTTAGGCGCAAGAACAGTGCTGTGTTGGGGAAATCTTCGATGTCCAGATATGCCGAAAGAGGAGGATCCAGTCTGTGTGTGCATGGGGCTCCAGAGGCCACTTGAGAGAATCCTGTGGTTTCTGTATATGGAACAAAATCAGCTATTAGGTCATTTATGTTGTTTGTTTGGAGATTAAGGACAAAGAAGACCTGAAAGATTGTGAGGGATTTCAGTACCTGGTTGGTCAGTACATCTGTATGTCTCTCCAAGAAATGACATCAGATATCTCTCTACCAAAAGGAGTCAAGAGGTTCTCCTGTTCTTCAGTTCAAATCTTTTTCTGTTTGGTGTTGATCTCTTCTGATTTGAGGTCGTGGAAACAGGACCTCTTGGGATAAGCAAGGTGGGCACTTTGTCCAAAAGCAAATATGCAACTTTCAGTACTGTGGTCTGCCAGGTTGCCTTCCTGAGAATTGAAGGAACTGGTTTTATTAACAGTCAACCTCACAAATACATGTTAAGTATAGTACTGAGATAGTAAAAAGTCTTTCAGTTGGCCTAAAGAGTCCAAGTATTACATGTATTTCCAAGCCATCTGGTTACTCATGCTTATTTTCAGTAGTGTTTAATGGCAACAGCTTGTAAATTGGTATTATCCCATGGGTTATGGGTGAACCATTAAAATATATATAAAGAGCATTGAAATATGAAAGCTGGTAGGAAAAGGAAAAGTCCATTAAATATTTACACTAGACAGTGAATCAGCTGCTTTACTGCTGGTTAGCGAATAAATAAAAAATAATGTCACCATTATGACAGTCAGAACAGAGTTTACCAGAAATAACTTCCCACAGCAGGCAGGAAGGGAGCGTGAGGAGACAGCATCTCATGCGTTGGTTGTACTTCTCCTAAAGTCAGAGAAGCCTCTGCCTTGTTTTTAGCAGTAACTGGGTAGGCCTCTACTGCTGCTGGGTCAGGCTGTCAGAGCTATTGGAGGGTTGTATTTTTTCTGTGCATAGTCCGTCCTGGTCCTGGTCCTGGTCCTGGTCCTGTCCCAGGCCTGGTCCTGTTTTGACTGCTTCCATGTGGAAGAAGAGAGCTGCTGTGTCCTGTTACATCACTCTTCATATAAGGGAAAACCTCCTATTAATCAAAAGTGGACAAGTGGACACAAAAAAAGGACCTGCATTCAAGGTTACCTCACATTTGTGTACATATTATGATCTCAGGTCATGTTGCTGTTAGCCTCAATATGTACATTTAACTCATGTCATTAGAGAAATACGATTTGCGCATCTTGGGGGTCCTCATTCAACGTAAGGGTCTTAGATGCTTACAGAGATAATGTTAGTAGCAGTGCGGCTTCTGATTTCAGATTGGCACCGAATGGGACGCCAAGGAGAGGCTTTTCCGGAACTTCGGAGGACTTCTGGGGCCGACGGATGAGCCAGTGGGCATGCAGAAGTGGGGGAAAGGCCCCAACGTCACCGTCACTGTCATTTGGGTCGATCCCGTCAATATAATTGCAGCAACGTACGATATCCTTATTGAATCCAGTGCAGAATTTACTCACTACAAACCACCTTTGAATTTGCCCCTCCGACCTGGTGTCTGGACAATTAAAATTTTGCACCACTGGGTACAAGTAGCTGAAACCAAATTCCTCGTTACTCCCCTCACTTTCTTTAATCGGCAGCCTATCAAGCAAGGTAAGTTATATTATTTGGTTCCAGAGATAATATAGTTATCATATCTTTATTCACTGTAAATGCTGCTATTGAAAATGGAGTTGCACTGTACTGGAAAAGGAGAAAAGAAAGGAATATTTTAGATATTAAATCAGAAGAGATTGTTGTACCAAGACAAGCAAAAGTGTCTGCATCCAGTCCATAAAACAGGCGCTTTGAACAAAAGGCTGTCTGTATCTTTAAAATAGGCATGGTTCAGAATCCAAAGAACTTCAGACTCTCAGCAATCTTAACAGTTATGATAAAAAACATAATTTAGAAGCAGAAAGAAAAATGGACCATTTCCTTTCTTTCCTGCTTTTCATTCACATTTGCTGAGAGAGATATACAGGCCTTTAAACTCTTATCTTGACAAAATCTGTGTGTTTAATGATAAAAACATTAATATATGAAAGTCTGAATTAGTCAAAATTACCTAGGCCAGAGCTCATACGCTGACATATTTATCAGGTCCAGGCATTCACTTCTCCCTGATACCTGCCAAAACCTGCTTTTTACCTCCCAACAGTTGAGTTACAGAAATACATGTATATGCAAGTGATCTCAGAAATTACAGTATCAGACCTACACTCACATTTTCAGCAGAAAGCCATTTTCTTCTCGGCTGTGGTAGCGCTGAGCCATGTGAAATACAGATGTCACGCCACGGCTGCTGGAGCGTGCAGACCTTCAGCAGTGGTTTGCATGGGAGCACGCGTTCCTGTGGATGTTCTTCACCAAATGCCGCGGACATTGGGCTGCGGGAAGAGAGAACATTTTGCAGCCACACCTGTTTTCTTATTCACTCAGATCAAAACAAGTTTGTTGCTATGAATATCTTTACTATTCTTCTTACGTGCTCAAGTGCTTCCATCTGTCTAATATTAATATTCATAACTTTAGACGCCTTAAAGTTGCTAGATACATGAATGATCCTATTAAGTTTTCAGAAGTTCTTCTTCCTGACAAGGCAGCAAATAAACTGAGTCAGGCATGTACCTTCCAGTGTAATGTGCTGCTTCTGTAATGCAAACATCGCCAGACAACTGCTGGGAGCTAATGCAGCCCTTATCTTGCTCCACGGGAGCTTGATTCTACACATTTCTCACCAGAACAGCTAACTCACTGATTTCTTCTTCTGACATTTCGTGGCATCGTTTCTTAAGCAGAAACTAAACCACGAACAACCTGCTGCTGTTGTTAGCTAACAGACAAGTGATGAAGTGGGAAGACACACTATGTGCGGAAAGAATACATTTTTAAAGTTTGAGGCAACTTCCTTCTACATGCACATATTATTGACTCGCCTCTTGCAAATTAATGGATTCCATGTTCTTGGCTAATTTAACATGGCAGAAATGGAATGGAAAACATGGCGCATTGCCAGGCCTTGATAAAATTTGCTGTCTTTTACCTGTAACGCAAGAGCCCTGTGAGCAGTCATGGGCTTCTCAGATGGCACCCAGGAGCCTACGCTTCGTGGCTCAAAGACAAAACTTCCTTTGGTCCAAACTCTGAACCTGGAATAACTCCACTGAAATTATGGAGTCACTACATATGGCCACTACAAAAAAAAGAGAAAAATAACCTATTGATTCACTGGGAGAAGCTCAGGCTTATATTTTTTTGTTAAAGAGCCTTATTCACTCATACAGTAATTACAGTCTACTATAGGAATGAGATATAAAGCTTGGGAACAATGATATCTAGGAAAAACGCCTCAGGGATGATTTGCTACTGATGTTGTGATATATAATCTGCAGATGTCTGAGACATGAAGGTAAAGGAGAAAATTAACTACAGGGGCAAATAGCGACGCTCCCCTATAGTTAGAATTATGTAAGCATGTACAATGCAAATCTCTGTTGTTTCGTATTTTTAAAGTTTTCTCTCTCAGTGACGCTATTGTTCTCTCTGCAAGAAATTGTCATCTAGCTTTGATCTCCAGCTTTTGTCAGATTGTCACTACTTGATTATTTAAATATATTTTTCTATGCCAAATAAAGGCATTGTGAGGGTATGACGGAAGATTTAGGACTTCTCTTACATTGTAAACAATCTGACGGCTGCCAAAAATCTTCTAAAATGAAGGAATAGTATTATTGTCTTGTCCTAACACTGAAAAATCAAACATGCATCAGACTTAGCCAGGAGTTGTCAACGGAAGAGGATAATAGATTCTGTTAGGGATTTCTGGAAAATTTTGTTCCCCCCACCATCCTCCTCTCTCTTCTGCTCTCCCCCAGAATGAAAGTTCTTGTCATACAGGTTGCCCTGGGAAATGGATAGCTACTCCACAAGTTTTTTGAATGAATGCGGTCATTCATACGTTTCATATCACTTTGCATGTGTTTGTTTGGCATTGGTCAGGCCTACGCTGTGCCATATCCTCCAGATGTAGGAAGGGGCCGTCCAGAGTTACACACCTAAAAATGTGTCTGTGCGCTTGTGCATAATTTGTCCATGTCATTTTAAAAAACGTTTGCACAAACAGCACAGCAGCTACTGAAATATTGTTTCTTCACAGCATGAACATTACAACAATCACAATATTTCCTAGGTCTTACCGAGTTAGCGTTATATATCTATGCCTTCAGCACAGAGCACAGCAGTGCAAACTTGCTTTCTGTTTCCCAGCCTCACCAAAAGAGCAACTTGTTCCTCTCTTGCATAATCAAAGCAAAACATGTTCATTCTTGTATCATGACTCCCAACTTTCATGATTAAAATTAAAAATAAAAAAAAATTAATTCTGGGGCAGCAACCAGCAAAGATGTTTCATGTAGTAGTTTATAAGAACAGCATATGCAGCTAATTTATTCATTTTCTATGCCCACTTATTTATTTATTTCGGCCTAGAGTCTGTTCATGCAAGTAAAACCATAAAGGGAAATCAGTGGCAGGTTTTTTTGTGATATCATGTCCAGATGTGCATAACTGACAATTTAAATTGTCACAAAAACACAAATTCATTGCCCTTTTCAAAAACCGGGGCTGTAAGAGCCCATTCTTTAAATTGAGTTACTGAGCGCAGCAGGGGGCTTGGTGTGTTTCCGCTGTAAACTAGATTCCCCAAACTACTTCAGGGGAAGGCTAGAATCTAAATCTATTTATTCTTTCTTGTCCTCTTCCCCCTCCAGCCATCCAAATCTGTTTCTGCCTTCTCGAGTTGTGTCACTAATCAGTTTTGCCTTCAGCAGCTTCCTTCTGGCTCACAGTGCCTCTAAGTGTTTTCCTGGTTGGGCAGAGAAAAACAAGGAGGAAAATTAAATGGATTTGCCAGATAACTCATTTGGCGAAATCTGGTTCGTTTGCTCCACCAGGCATCTCCTTCCCCCCGTGTCCCACATATATAGACCCCGTTTTCTTCTTTTAAGTGGCGAGTTTGAGTCTCTAACCACATGGCTGAGTTTGCTGAAGCCAACTAGTCCATGCATGGGAGGACTGCTGAGGTCCATCAAGGTGCCCCAAGGGTTAAAAAATTGTGCTGGGACACAGAAGGGGGGGAAGGAGCAGGAGGGGAAGGAGCAGGAAAGGAAGAAGAGCACTAGGGGTGGCAGCACGCAGGACAGGGGGGTTCACGCTGTCTGCTTTAGGCAGCCTGAGTTGAAGTGCGGTTCGGAGACCCGAGGTCTGGTGTCTGCGTCCCTGGTGCAGTGACCAGAGAGAGGTAGAGCCAAACGGGAGGCGTAATTCGGAGCATTTAGCCATAAACGGAGGATGTGAGATCCCTCAGGACAGAAAACATGCCAGCCCTATCAGTCCTATTCCTCTCCACAGCTATACTTTAAAAAATACAGGAATTAATGTAATATTCATATCCTTGCTCATACTGATAAAACCGCTATTCATTATACAAGAGAAGCACATGGAGAAGGGCTCGGAAACCCTTGGGAGAGACAGCGCGGATCCCTGTACTGGGACCGGTACAGCCCAGTGCCAGCACACACGGAAGGAAAATGCGGGGCAGGGGATCCGCCAAGGCCCCCGCACCCCGTCGTGGGGGTCCCTCGCCCTGTCCTTCTGCCCTGAGCCACCATATTCATGCTCTTCCGTTTTCTCGTTGCTGCTTTCTACAGTTTCCTAAAGCCCATTTGTTAGCCTCCCCACCACGAGGTTGTGGAGTCTCCTTCACTGGAGATAACCAAAAGCCATCTGGACACAATCCTGGGCAGCGTGCTCTAGGTGACTCTGCTTGAGCAGGGGGGTTGGACGAGATGATCTCCAGAGGTCCCTGCCAACCTCAACCAGTCTGTGATGCTGTACTCGCTGTCCTCCTCCCTGCCCTTACTTATGACTTTACTGGGTGCCAAGCAACTACCAGAAGACTGAAATGATGTAAGAGACAGTCAGGAGGGTTCATTAAAGTTTCAAGTTTGTGCCAAAAAAAAAATCCCACAGGAATTACTATTTATTTTTTTAAGGTGGGGTTGCAGAAGGAGGGTTTGTATCTGAGCACGCAGCGACAGCCAGCAGTTCTCAGCCTAACCCAAGTTACCAGGTAGATTTTGATATTGATAAAACAGTGAGTGTTTGGCAGAGGTTGGCTCTGCGGCCCCGTCGTCCCGCTTTCCCCCTCCGGCTCCTGCAAAGCCCACGTAAAGCCGTCGTGCCAGGCGCCATCAGGCAGATGTTCTCCAGGGTGCAGAGGGATGTGGAGGAAAAGCCAAGGCGATTTCCTTTTTAAATTGGAGTTTATATTCATGGCAAAGTTTTCACAGTGGTCTCCCAGCTGGAGTGATGATAATGCGTTGTCAGGCATTTAATATATAGTACCTGTTTCATTAAAGCTAAATAGGTTACTGTGAGCTAGCGGGCAGATAAAGCCCCAAAACGCAAGCTGATACTAAACATTGGGGGGGGGGGGAAAATTTTGGAATAAAATAAAACACTTCTTCCTTCAAATAAGAGGAGCAGGGAAGGAGAGCGGGGGCTCTGCTCCTGCACGTGTTGCTCCGGTCCGCGCGCCCTCCAGCTGCAGCTGCCTGTCCCAAAGGCTCGAAGGCATCGGCAGACATTGCAGCATGCCCACACGCGTTCCTAAGGCCTTTTAACCTAATCCATATTTATGGATCATCTTAATTAAGTATATACTGGGAAACCTTCCTTTTGCCATTGGTTATTTGTAGTGGCTCAATCAATTCTAATTGCATCTATAAGGATTATAAAGTGGGTGGCGACCGGTGTCACAACTGCTGTGAATTCTTTAAATTACCTAGAGGTAACGTCACATGTTCTTGATAAACATAGTAATAGCAGCAGGCAAGCGTGTGGCTGCAGAGGAGTAGAGATGCGCTGGCATCATCATGCTGAGAAAAACCCCATAGACAAGGATTTGCTTTGAAATTTAGCTCAGATCCAGTTGACAAGGAGTCGATTAGCTTCACAATGAGCAAATGCAGCACTGTCTTGTTTGCTGCAAGAGAAAACAAACAAAATGCCAATAAAAAAATTACCTCCTTGCCAGAGGGTTTCAACACAATTCAAGTAAAGAAATAAAGCTGTACTTTCAGTGCTGCTTTAAAAAAAAAACCACAGATCTATTGCCTTAATGTGCACCAAGGTAACCACGTTTTTCATTCCTTAGCCCACTGTCTGTCTCAAATCATTTGCTTTTTCTGCAAAATACTGAGCAAACCCCCACAAAAATGCTGAAATCCCAGCCTGCGCAACAGACTACAGGCTGTGTATTTACTCCAAAGAAGTTATAGCAAAAAAAAAGTCAGTTGAGAAGGGAAGTGCCCTCCCAGAGTGAAGAGCAAACAAAAATGGGGGACAGAAATAACTCATTTTTAAAAAACGGCAATTTAAAGTCAGTGGAACATATTTTGCATTGACATGTAGCCTGCATGCTCCGCTGAAGTCAACGAGCCTTTTGGATGTATTGCCTGGCAAAAAGTCTGGTTTAATGCCTGCAATTCCGTTAATTTTGAATTGGTTGCTCTAACTGTATAGTTTTAAAAGTGTAAACACCCGTTTCGTAGAGGCAAGCCTGACATTCTTCGTTATTTTTTCATGAGAAAGGCGTGAAGTGTCAGTCCCTAAATACTAGCTCGGCCTACAGTATTTTCTCTGTGTGTCCAACAGAGGAGGGAAGGAGGCAAGAGATCCACCTCTTCCTTTTGGCTCTGCAGCTGCCTCCGAGCTCTTGAGGAATTATTTCAGCCTAAATCCTGAAGGTGCAAATCAGGTAGAATTTGAGGCACATGCTGCCAAAATTGCGATCCTCAAGACCCTGTCCAGCTGCTTTTCCTAAGTCCTTCGTAGGAAGTGCAGACACCTACCGGGGCGTTCGTTCCCCTGCGGCCGGCAGTCCCCAGCTAGCGCTGTGTTGGGGTTTCCTGATCTTTCATCCATCAGAGAAGCAGCGCTTAACACACTGAAAAGCATAGCGTTTTTTTTCTTTTTTTCCATTAGTACTAGCCCCTGCATTATTTCCTTTTCCTTTCTGTTGCTAATGTGTATGTATAGCTTTTCAGAAAAGGATGTGTTCAGTTGCATTTTACGCTGTTACAATCATATCTGGAAATGCAGCCAGTCCTGCAGCAGAGCGCCACAGTGGCTTAGTGCTGCAGAGCAAAACCACAGGGTGCTGCTGTGAGCGGTGCAACATGTCCAGCACCATCACAGGAACAGCAAAGTGAAGAAATTGAAATTTGTTGGAAGATGCAGAGCTTATCAATCACCCTTATTTTAGCAAGAGCAGCCCACTGGTCCTAAGCAACAGGAGTCACAAATTCAGAGAGGATGGTTACCTCCTGCCGAATGACCACCACTGAGGCCTACTCTTTTGTAGGTTTCTTTCCCTTCCACATCTCCAGGAAGTTGTGGAGCATGGGACACATCAGAGACGGAGCGCTGCGGGAGAGCAAGCTCCATCTCATCCCCTTATTTATCTGGAAAAATGTCTCTCTTGTTCCCTGCAATAAACACATGCACAACAGCCTTTAATTCAACAAGCTCTCTAAATTGCCTATTTCAATCAGATGATCCTGCTAGTAATGCCAACTCTTATTTGTTTGGGGTTTTTTTTACTTAAAATGTTCCTATTTAATTAATATGTTGACAAACAATCTTCCATATTTAATTGCTTCCAAAGGAGGAAATTTAATCATGTGTACTTGTTCTGTTTCTTAAACTGCAGTGCTCTGGCAGATCACACTTTTCACACATGTGCGTAGCAAAGGCTCATTTTGACTAGAGGTTATTGTGGGTATCTACCATTTAAAATAAAATAGAGTTTTTGATGAATACAGGAGCAGTAAGTGATATATAATTGTGATGGGGATGTGCTGAATTAATGTAATTGGTGATTTGAAGTAATGGACTGGCACAATATCCGACATTAAAGACTGCAAATGTAACAGCGAAGTTCCAATTAAACGTCCCTTTTCCCTCTAAATAAATGTACTGATTTATTGCCAGCATCTGAGATACCGTCCTCTGCCTGGAAGAAAGGACTCAGTGTCAATCTGCAATGCAAGCCGTAAGGACATGTGGAAGGAATTGTAGATGTTAATATTTAGTTCCTGGCCTCTAAATGGTATCTGAACGCTGTGGCTTTCCTAGCCTGGAGGGCTCTGAATGGGCCCATTTTGTCTTCTAGACACTGTGTATGTTGGCAAAGCTCAACATGTCGTCTGTGCTGCAGGGAGGGATGATGTTAAAAGAAGTCAGCTGAGAACAGAAAGAAATAGTTGAAAATTTACTCCCTAGAGGCACTGAGTGAATATTTTGAGAGGGTTGCATCCTGCCTTTATGAGTAGCAGCTCACTGCACGCTCGGACCTTGAGAAGCGAGTGTGCCTTAGACAAGGACTGGCATAATGTCCTGCTCCAGTTCTTTAAAGGAGTTATCGCAATTATGGCAACGATTTTTGGTGCAATATCACAGATTTGGAGAATGTGCTACATTTTGCTGAAGTAGAAGAGTTAATGTAAGAAAAACAACAACAGTACAAAGAAAAGTGTCGTTAGGAAATGTTTTTGATCCATTATTTGGCCCAAGAGCTGGAAATGTGATTGTAATTAAAGAGTACTTTCCCAGTAAAACTGGAGTACTTCCAGGAACGATGCTGGGGTTAAGTATCTGTCCAGCACAGCGCTGTTATCCTTCCAGTGCCAGGAACGATACCACCCAGCTTTTGCCTCCTCAGCCCTGGGGAGGGTGAATCTGCTTAGGAGAAAGGAGGAAATAAAAAAAAAAAAAAACAGCTTCTCAGCTTCTCAGCTCTTTTTCTTTGCCAAATCTGTGATAAGACTTTAAGGACTGGCAGCCTTCTCACAGCAAATATCCTTGAACTGTTTCCTAATTTCAGGGCATGGTCTTCTTTGGGTGTTCACGGAGGCTAGCTTCAGCTCTAAGTGGGGCATATCTCCCTCAGTTTCCTTTGTGGTGAAAGAAGTAAAATTAGCTTCTCCTGAATGCAAAATTAGCTTCTCTTGGGAGGGAGCTGCGCACTGCTCAGGGTCCAGGTACGAAGAGGAGCTCTTAGCAAGTGCCCAGACAGGAAGCCCTTGAGGTTGGGCCCGCCTTTTCGTTGTGTGTTGTCGAGAATAGCTCATTTCCAGTGCCACAGAAATGGGTTGCAGCGCACCACCAACTTTTGTCTTTTGTTTTGCTGTGACCTTAAACCCTGAAGGAGTCTTTTCCTTGCTAATGTTGGTGTTTCTTTTTGCATTTCCAGAGGAAGTCATGAAGTATCACAGTGGGCCTCCAAGGAACGCATATATGGAGCAGAGCTTCCAGGGCTTGAACCCAGTCCTAAATATCCCCATCAGCGCCACCCAGGTGGACCAAGCCAGGAGGAACGCGGCGCTCATGGGCACCAAGCTGGAGAGCTGGGTGGACTCGCTGGTGGGCAGCATGTGGTCGGCGGTGGACATCTGCAGCAGCGGGGCCACCTCATGCCCAGTGATGCAGGCGTGCAGTCAGACGGCATGGAGCTCGCTGAGCCCCGACCCCAAGTCTGAGCTGGGCCCCGTGAAGCCTGACGGTCGGTTGAGGTAGCATCTGGTACGCTCTTCTTCGGCATAGGTTTTAAAAGGGAATTTAACCTTGCTCATATGTGAATCTCGCAGCAGATTTCAGAAGCCTAAGGAAACGATATACCTTTTTGTTACATGTTGCAATATAATTCCTAAAAATCTGACAAAGCCTTTGGCACTGTTCTCTCCGTCAGCTCGGCAACCTCTTTTGGGTTTCTTAGGGCCATGGCCGTACCTGACTGCGTTGTACCCACGGCCTTGGCAGATGTGGGAACAGTAACAACAAGTCAAGGAGAGGGCAGTGAAGGAGCAGCTGCTAAAAGTGTTTTTAAAAAATAAATTTATGTGTACTTCTGCTGTTTCATAGGCTTTAATTATTTTGCTCTCATGAATAAATCACAACAAAATTCCCTACTATTTATGCTTCCAGGGAAGGTTGGCTACTGCAGGCTATATCCCATATGGCCACTTTACCTGACAGAACATGAAATAAGTGGGATACACCTTTGCTCATTATTTTTTTATAACACAAAGTAATTCTGGACTCAGCTAATAATGTCTGTTGTTGCCGTAGTTAGGGAAAATGAGCAAAAGCAGTGTTATTTTCAGACTGATTTCCTGATAAGCTCTAAATGGAACCGGTATTTGCAGTCATAGTTTTTTATCGTTCATGCAGTCAGCTTCAGGATCTTGGTACTACTAGCATTATTTTTAAAAGCAAAGACGCATTTTGGATTCCAGCCCATTTGACGGCTGCTTTTTCTTAAGCCCACCAGCACTTAAGCCTGTTCACAGCCCTCCTGTACAGCGAGCTGTATGGAGGAATTGGGGTAGCTTGTGATGTGTCTGCTCGCACCATGTGATAAGTTTTCTCATGAGGTCACAGTTCAGTTCCTCAGAACCGGTGAAATGGTAGAATGGCCCTTTGCAGTTTAGAGTTGGAGATTATTTTTCTCAATGGGAACAAGATTGGGACCTAAATGTGCAGCATTCTGATTCTTCCCTAATTTGAGCAGTGGCTAATGAATCTTAACACTAATTTCCTAGCTTGATCTCAGATCTGCCAGCTCTTCGTGAAGGCAGCTATTTTTAGGGTTGCATAGGGTGTGTGGAAGGTTGTGGTGAGCAGGACAGGACAGTTCCTGACCGAAGCCATGAGCTGAATAGGAAGGAGAGCAACACTGTATTTCTCAGTGCTGTTAGTTTATTCTGTCAACAAACTCCACCTTTGCCTGTGTTCAGCTTTTGGCTTTCTAGCAGGCTGCATCCTGTTTTGGATATGTACATCTCACATCATTTTAACCTGCATTTTCTATAGTAGGAAAAAAAAATTATTTACATTCCAACTACTTTTTGAAATATATGTTTTTATATGCAAATTCATCTCCAGCTGAAGCATTTTTCATTTGTATAAAACATGCACTTTTTTGTTGTTGCTGTGGTAATCTCTTGATAACAACATAACCCAAAAAGGCTATTAGAAGCTGTTGGGCTAATTATAAAAAAATCCTGTTACTTTAGTAAGGTAAGGTATCCATTTACCGTTCTGTGTGCACGTTTAACTTTCATTTCTGCTGATGAGAGTTAAGCTTGCACATCAGGAGGGAAATAGACCCTTAAATCATTCCATAATTGCATCTCACGGAAAGGTTGAATTCCCTTTTAAACAACAATTGCAAGATGACCATAACACACAGATGCCAGTGGCTCGTTATATTTCTCTCCACAGTGTTGGTTTAAAGCTACTTGCAGTTTGCTTTGGACTTGAAATTGCAGTGTCAGCTGTGCTGGCATTAAGGCAGAGCATTTAAATGTTTATCTGGCACAAAAATGGATGCATAGAAGGAACAATTTAGATATTTATTATTTATGTTTTAGTCAATGACTAATTAGTAGGTGCTGCTTTTGCAGCTTGAAGATTATGTTATCTTACTAACTGAAGCTGCCTTTATTAAGGAAAGGCCTTCCTCCCCCTCACACCTCCCTTTCTTTTTTTCTTCCTGATTTTGACTGTCACAGGAGCTGTAGTTTTAGGAAAGCTTGTAGCAATGAGAGCTGGTTGAAATGTTTCTGTCAAAATAGCGTTCCTGCTTTTCAGCCACGTGTTTAAAACTAGGGTTTCCAACAGGTTTATATAATAGAAACGCAACGTTATTACTCATTCAGTAGTTTTTGGTTTTTTTAAGTACTTATTTTTAATCTAACATTCCATCATGAAGGTCAAATTTTCTGGGGACCTCCAGTCCTCACTGTGAAATCCGGGGCTTTAGTCACATTGCTGCAACGGGAACTGCACGGTTAAAGCCCTGCAGATCAAATGGAGAGCATCACATTTAGGGCACATAGTAATACTCATTAGCTATCCTAGTCACTGATCGTTCTTAGTAAGATTACTGCGGTAGTTGCAAAATCCAGTCTGTCTTGCACATAATCATATGTATAAGGGTGCGCCCACACACACATGCAGATAATCTGGTTTTAAAATTTGATACTTTTTTTATTCTTAAACAGGAATGTTTTTAAGTAAGTGCTTTGTTGAGAAGTTCTCATTATTAACTATGTCAAGCAGAAGGTGGCAACAATCCAGGCTTTTATGTTTAGAAGAAAAGCTGCCACTTTTATCATTTAAAATGTAAGGTTCAAATTACTTTGTTTTAGTTTAAAGAAATCAAGTGGTTGCTGATATACCTATTTTCATTATATACTATGTTTAAAATAACTCAAAGAAATATTTTGTATTAGTTTGTTTTCTAAAAGACAAAAAGCATCTGCATGAGGAAGTTCTGTAGCAAGCTGGCAGTTCCAGTGCCAGGATCCAAGGTTAGATGTATGGCTGAAGAGGCTGGTCCTGCAGTCCTTCCTCAGGCAAAACATCCATGGAGCATTGGTTCTGAGTAAGGACCTTAGAGTCAAATCCAGCATAAGTGACAGGTGTGACAGTATGCTACGAATAAATACTGTATGTGTGTGAAATCATTACAGGATGAGTTGCTGTATTTGGAGCATCTTCTGCAGTGAGTGTCAAGTTCTGGACCTACATGACAACCCCTATTATAGCTATTAATATGCAGACACAGATATACAGATTATATATGGGACACTGTGTCTGAGTTACTAAGTGCTATAATTGTGGAGTAAAATCCATGGAAAGCAAGACTGCTTCCCTCGGGGATCAGCACTTGCTCCGAGCTGTTGCTGTGGCAGTGCTGCTAAGACCTCTGTTCTGCTTAGTGGCTTTTGTGGTTCGAGCACAGCAGGCACTTGAATGCCTGTGATGAATGCTATATATTGTTGGAAGAGAATAACTTCACAGATCTTACATTTGGTGAAAAGGAGAATTCAGAGCAGGGACCCACAGTTTGTACAAAACAAGGTTATGCATCTTCATTTGAATGTGCTAGTGTTATTTTCCAGTCGCGCTGGCTAGTCCTTTCCGACTGGGGCTCCATCCGAAAGCCAGCTTTGGTCCAAATCCCTTTCTGTGGGAAAAGGCGATATGTCCATAAGCACACGTTTGTCCTCTGTGTAATGCTTTGCTGGTTTAAATTTTGTGCCCGTTCTGCTAGATTGCCTTGCACCACTTCTGTGGTTAATCAGTATTACACAGAAAGGAAATGTGGCAAAATGCAGAACATCTACTTACATGTTTTAATGAATTAAATCTAAAGTCAGTCTTAGCAATATGCAAGCCTGTTTATATGGTAATGTTAAACCTTAAGGCTAATAGAAATAGCTCAAATGATAGATTTGTCCAGTTCTTTCTTTGGTGACCTTTGGACATTGAGCAGTAATGTTTATATTTTTCTTTTCTGATATACAAAGATTTTTTAGAATTGGAACTATGTCTTCATTTTTTTGTGCTCTCTACAAGTAGAGAGAGTATTTTAACAAGTTGTCCGTCACAGCAAGTATTATACAAGGAAGTCCATCTGTATCTCTGCTGCTAAGCCTTCTTTATTGCTAAGCCTGGAGATAGAGGAACGTGCGTTCGTGTGTCACAAGTTGGCTTTCCCACGTATTGGCTTCAGTGCATAGTGCGTGTACAGTTGTTTAACGGGATGTTAACAGTGATCCTGCAGCACCTTCAAAAGGGCCAGCTAATGTGTTTTCACCGTCTGTCCATCTCCAGTAGCACTAACTGCAGTACTAATGAAGTCTCAAGCTCTCTTAGCCGCTGTTATAGTGAGCAGAGTAGTGAAGTCAGTGAGTCAGAACTGGGAAATGAAACTGAACCTGGCCAAAGGGGGAGATGAAGAGTAAAGAAGGTGCCAAAACTTTGGAAGAGTGTGGCAGAACTGTGCTGCAGCAGAACTGTGAGCAAACTGAGCACCTTCTCTTCTGCACAGCACGGCTGACAAATGCTGCTACCATGAGATCGTAGCTTTGACTTCTCCTATTAAAAATAAAACAAAATCCCGATGTTTATTGTTTCCGGACAACAAGGGCCCACTTTCTGTTGATTTCTGTACTGCTCCTCTTTCATCGCAGCTGTCAAAGGGCTGCCAGCTTGCTGCCAGCTATCACGCCCTCCTCCTTGTTGTCCTAGCTCCCAGAGTTGGCCAGAGGAGACCTTGGTCACTCCGTTGCTTTCAGTTGAGCAGGAAGTTTTGTTCTTATGTGATCCAAATCCCTTAGGCTGCTTTAAAACTCCCAGCTGGGAAACAGCAGTTTGCTTTTCAAGGCAGCCTTCAGTCAGCTCAGTCCTGACCTATATGAAGAAGTCTGTAGAAGTGATGGTAATTATCTTTCCCGCGCTTTCAGACACGGTATTTAATATACCTACTAGTAGGTCTGGACAGCAACAGGATAAGGCTGAGCTGGTAGGAGGCAGTTAGAAGTGTTTCCCCATGTTCCTTGCTGCAGTCTGGTAGTGAAAAGATGCTATTTTAAAAATGTGCTCTTATTTCAGCTATTCTAAAGGCCTCCAAGATAGTCTTAAGGTTCATAGGACAGTACCTTAAACCCCTATTAAAAATGACGATTGATATCATCATGTAAAAAAGACTCCTCAGCGCTAACCCTCAGTGCTCAGCTACTGCTGAGACAACATGGCTCCCAGTGAGCGTAGGACTTTGTGGGGAAATACCTGTCATCTTCCTGTAGGCTACGCGGAGTGAGCGAGGGCTGTCCTGTAACTCCCGTCGAAGGTGTAGACTGCAAAAGCTGGGCCTTCTTTGGAAACCTCCCCAGCGTGAGTGAAAGAAGCAGGCTCAGAGCCTTTAACGCTGAGGCAGGAAGATCTTATCGTTGATGTTACCCAGTTCCAGGGCCACAGTAGCATTAGGGTGTCTCCAGTTAAGCGCAGTGTTGCTAGCCATTAATCCTTGTGACCTGATCCTGCAGGTACCATGTTGATTTTGTTCCTTCATACTAACAGTAGTGTACAGCTCGCTCTCTGCTCTTCGCTTCTGCCTTGGTTACCTTCTTTTGCTCATGGGTGCTATCACAGCTGCTACCTCACTCTGTCTGCAAACACGTTTACCTGACAACAACAAAAAAAGGTACCAGAAATCTCCTTCAACTGAATGTACAATCTATGCAAATTCTCTTTCTATTTTGTTAAAAAATCCTAGAAGCATTACTTGTAACCTTGCCAAATAAACAGCAAGATACTGTACAGGTGCCTCTGATAACAGAGTGACGATTCCAGGCGCGGTTCATTGCGCTGCCTTTGTATGTTGTAATGACTTGACTTGTCTTTGGTTCTGTTGTAATTAATACCCTTGGTGAGACAATAGTAATCTCTTGCTAGAGGAGCACCTTCAGTTTGCTGGGAATATTCTGGAGGGGATGTCTACTGCATTATACTTTATTTTCCTGCTTACATACAGAGGAAGGCACAGACCTACTGGCCAAAATTAGGATGTTTGAGAATTTTCTTGGGTAAATCCTATCAGCTTTGGATTTCTCAGTGTATGTTGCCCTTGTGGCATCCAATGTGGTGCCCCTTAAAGAAAGCCTTACTTTCATCCTTTCTAAATGTGGCCTTAAACTGTATTAGAAAGTTAGATGTTGTCTGTGTCTTGCTCACTTTTTCTGTTTGCTGTAGAAGGACTAAAAGGCACCTTGAGCTTTCTATTACAACTCAGCTGTGTTGCTGTCAGCTTACACTTCACAAATACAATAGAAATTGCTTACAAATGCAGTCTTTAAGGGGAGAAAAAAATGACCTTCCCTTTGGACAAAAGGAAAGCTCAGACATTCCTATAATCCTTAGGAAATTATGAGCTTTGTCTTTTGCAACTTAATGCAGATAGGAAAGGTTGATTTAATTACCTACAGAGTGATAACTTAATACCTTTTTATTTATCTGCAGAGTATAACAGGACAGACTTTGCTCTCAGATGCACAAGACCAATTCTGGAGTGATTTCACTCATTTTGACATGACTTAGTAGCATTCCTTTCAGATTTGTACTGGTAACTGGGAGAAGACATATCCTCTTAATGTTATAGTCTTAAAATCTGAAGAACTTGACTACTTGGGGCCAGATTTTGAGTGATGGTTGGGAACCTGGCAGTACACACAGAAGACAGAGGAGTCTGGCTGTATCATTAAAGTTGCAAACACTTTCCAAAATCAGGCGTTTGCAACTTTATCCAACGGGTGTCGAAACCGAGGACTTCTGATAAGGCTTGTGTACGCTGGGTTTTTTTAATACTCTTCTCCATCAAGAACTGTCATGTTTCAGTAGCACCAGTATTCCCGGCAGGCTGCAGTGCTTTTAGGAATCCCAAACCCTACCGAGTTTCAGTATTCTGATGCGGATATAACCCAAAGGCAATTGAAAAGGGTTTACATAGCAAACAAGATTTGTGAAACAAAAAGAATTAATTTGAGTTAATGATTTTTCTGACTTTGTCATTTTGGTTTTGGTTGATTGGGTTTTTGTATTGCCTAACATAGTCCATAATAAGTTATTCCTATTCTATCATTTTTTCAAAGACTGGTGGTAATATAGTTTTAAGAAATAACTATTTTGTTATAAATCATAATATGCATTAAAAACTGTACAGAAATATTTTGTAAGCTATTGAATAAGAAAAAAAATGTATATACAGCAAAGTTAAAAAAAAAAATTGGAAATTCAAATGGAACACACTGAAAGATGTAGATATTTTGCTATTTATTTAAAGGAGTATTTTATGAGATATTGAAATGTCTTAAATTGACCGGTAATCAAAGTTCAAAGTCAGAATGCTTTTCTTGTAGTAGAATGTGATTTTCAGCAATTATTGCACTACCCGTTTTTGCACCCTTTTGTCTTTCATTTAGCAGAAAACAATGTGCCTTAGCTGTATTCTTTGTCTATTGGAGTTTGGGTTTTTTGTCCGACAAAGCAAATTTTTTTGCAGAAAAAGAAATGGATGTATTAAATACTGTATCATACCAAAAACACTGCAGTTGTATATAAATGCTTTCTGTCATACTGTGTTTTCAGGTGCAGAATTTTAAAATAAAAAAAAAAAAAGGTTGTCTTTGGGAATAGCAGTGCACCTTGTAGTTATTTTTAACCCCACTAATGTATTCCTTTTTCTAAAGCAGTTTGCTCTTTGGTAATAGTTAGCAGCAAAAATGGAACGAAGTGCTAACTGTGATCCTCCCGCTGTGGCAAGTAGGGCTGGGAAGTGGTCACAGGCGTCTTTTGGAAATCAGCTTGTGTTGGTCAGGACCTCGGAAATATCGCCCCTCATAGGCCTGAGGAGCCCCTACGCAGATAAACAGGAACAGTGATGTTTTTCATGGTCCAAATGCCTTGCCCACGCCACAGGGCTCGCAGCACGCATCCTGCTCCACAGGGTCGGAGACATCTGGCCTTTTGGACCGACTTCTCCATGTTTCCAAGCTCAGGTTACCTTTGCAGGGCTAGGGTCTACCCACCTTTTCCAGAGAGCAAGGGATAGTAGCGGAGGGGAGAGCAGGGTCTGGCAAGGAGCCTGTCTTAGGTGTCCTTTCTAAAGGCCACCAGCTACAGGGAACACTGGGGCAGTTTCTCCCCTGCATCCCCAACGATAGGTCACCCCAAGAGAGGCAGGACCGTGGCGTAGGGACAGGTGGCCCAGGTGCAGGAACAGGAGTTGACGTTAGGGCTGGCTGGCTGCAAGGACAGCAGCGCGTGCCTCCTTTGCCTTTCCTGGAAGGATGAACTCAGAAAGATGTTTCTTCTATAGTCCCCTCCCCCTCCGATAGGCTACATACCCAAAGTTGCCAGCTTTCACCCAATATGAGCATTTAAATTTATTTTCTTACCCACAGGCTCCACTGAGCACTAACTTCTTAGAGCTGTTACCATAGATGTGATGGGAAAACGAGTTACGTTCTTCTACGAATGGGTGACCGGTGTCTTTAGCACCATCCCCGTGGGACCGCGTGTGCTGCTGCGGCTCCTCCTGCTGCCTTTTGATGTGGGATGCCTGAACAAGCTCCTTGATGACCTTCCAAAAGTCTCCAACCCCGCCAGGAGCCTGTGTGACTTTTCCATGCACCCACAAGCAGCGCTGCAGGTCCTCTTGGCAGCCAGAAGTGCTTTTGATCTTGTGCTTTCTTTCCACCTGCTGTTCAGGAATTCCACTTTTTTGGCGCTTAAATGCAATGAGGTCTGCTTGAGCAGAGGAGGGAACACACTGCGAATATTTTAGTCCTGGAAAAAAGAAAATATTTTTTTTTTGTGGAGAAAGTAAAAGGATTGTACTTTCAGTCCTGAAGCCTGCATTTATTTATAGACGAAGTATGTTGCTTTTTAGGGGGGCCTTATTCCTTGTCCAGCTGCTAATTTTCATGTCATATAAAGAAAGCTCAACCTTTGCTCTTAATTTTCTCCAAATATGATGGCATCCTCTTCTTGAAAAAAGTATGAAGGTGTCAGGTGCCAAAGTATCTTGTTTTCTTTGTGGATTGCAGTAAGAATCTGACCGCTCTTTGTGGTAACGCACACAAAAAACCCCTGCACATTACAGAAAGGTCTGTCTGAGCTGTCCACAATAGCATGCTAAGAGACACATGTGACTTGACAGACTTTTTATATCTGTCTAGTTGAGCTCTTGTCATCACGTTTTTTTTTTTTTTTTTTGCGTCAGCCATGCCTAATCTGTCTTGATCATAATTAATATTTATATAGTGTAGAATGTAGTTAATTCACAATAATGACTCAAAACTCATTGCAGCACAGTTTGCCAACTGGAAAACACAGTAAATCAAGCGCAACAGAAATGAGGCATTTAATTGCTTTGACAATAGGGGTTTCATTTCCATGCCTGGATATTTGACGTTTCTTCATCTTTTACCAAAAAATTCGTAGCCTATTATTTTGTGAAAACAGAAACGTTAGTAATCTGAGGCTTCACGAATGCAAACAGCTGTAAATCTCTGCTGTCTATAAATGATTAAAAAGTGGGAGATTCATGAGGTTCTGCTATATTTAACAAACAGGCAGAGATGGCAATTTTTCATTTTTTTATGGGAGATGATCTGGGCTATTCTGGTGTCAAATCAGCACTTCAGCATGTTTCATCCTTCACCTGGTAGCCCTTGGGAAGGAGCCTGAACAGGCGGTTTCCATAGCTATGGAATGTGGCACAGCTGAGCCACGGATTGCTAATCCCTCCAAGCAGAGCAAGGATTGAACCCTGGGTTTGGGGAAATGGGGTGGACCAAGTTCAGAAATGGGGCAGAATGGCAGCAATTTCCAAACACCAGCTCTCGACCTAAGGGGTTTCAAACCAGGTTCCTAACTTTGCAGGCAAAGAACTCTCAGGTTTGAAATCTGAATTTTGGGTTTATTTATTAATAGCATTAATATGATCCAAAAGCATGCGCCTGGGGTTGGTTGGTTTCAGATTTAAGCCTGATCCAGCCACTACTTTTGACCTTCTTTTAGAAAACGCCAAACTGCATTCTTCCTTTTTGCTTAAGTTTATGGAATAAAGCATGCTCGATGTAAGTGCACGGTTTTTGTTGTGCACTGATAGCTACCTGCTCTCGGGGACACCTCCAGCCTCAGCTGTGGTGGT